GTATTATATAAATAAATATATCATTTAATAAGATCTACGGACTTCAGTTCTAAATTAAGACTTAGTTTTTTGGTTCCGGTTTTAATAACTTCGGTTCTGGTCTGAAACAAAGGACTTTATCATCCCTAGACTCAGTACAATGATATGGTGCAATACTATAGCATGTACAGTATATGCATAATCGATGCAATGAACATCTATCATGTGATCGAGTGGAATTGATGACCGCAAAATATGACAATAAACATTGTTAAAATTATTATGTAATCATGGTGCGATAATACTTATTTTTTTTTAAAAAAAATTCATTTTATATAATCCAAGAAAAATAGAAAAATAATGTAGCAATGACAGAGAGTTAAAAATTAATAAAGATAAACATCGGTCAAATAATAAACGTCTCATCACTTACCTTCTATCCTTGATCATCAGTAACGGTTACGCGATTTTCTTTTGCATTAGCGATAGACACACAGATTGCTCGTTACAACTTACTAAAAATTGAATGATAAATACAAATTATGACTGCCTGGAGACTTGCTTGTCAACATATAAGAACTTACATGGTGATATGCTTTCCAGCTTTCATTAAATGATACTGTAGGCAGGAGTTAATACTGTGAATCAATGGGAATATGAATATGAATGCTTGGAACGTATCCATTAACTTGTATCAGACGTGTTTAATGATCCGCTTTCTGACATTCGGTAATTTCCGCGGCTCATCATGCATGACTTATTCTTGATCTCATTTGCTCATTTATACTTTGCATATGCATAGTAAAGTTAATTCTCATTTACTCATTTACATATACTTTGTATATGCATAGTATATTATTAACACGATGTTAATAAGGATCAGTTTATTATTAGAATAATTCACAATTAAACTTGATTTCTTGTCAGATATTTTCAATCAAATTGAGAGCTAAACGTTGAGAAGATGTTGAAATATTTGTATACATTGCAGAATTATATATACAGTATCAGCAGTGATTTTGACATGGCGAGGCGCTTCATCTTATTACTAGAACCTAAATTATAATACGCTGAAATTGAAGGTTTTTTTAAGTTTTTGCACATTATACATATTAGCGACAGACTCGCCGTTAGCCGTTATAATAAATTAAGTATTTGAATGAAAAAAAATTATATAAAATAAACGTAGTTTCGCCAAATTTATTCTTGAATTTAAATCCGCTTCGCCTTTGTAAACAAAAGGTTGTATAAAAAGAAGTAAAAGTTAATAAAAAGATATTATTTATTTAAAGTCGGTCAAATCTAATTTACTTTATCATCTCTAAATAATGCATACTTTATTACGCGGAATCGCCGTACCATGGTTACAGTAGACACGCAATCCATGGCACGGCACTTGAATTATTTTAATTTGTCAGCATCTTTATCACTAGGTCTATTTGAAATTTTATTACGTGTAAGAGACGTGACATATACCGTACATTATTAATCTTTCCGATAACTTTTAGTATATTGAGAATATAAAAAATTATGTCACATTAGCTTATGCTTTGTGGATAGAAAAATTTTTAATAAAAATATGAATCCTTCTATAATTAAAGACACTATCTTTAATTGTTAAAATAAGCTTTCATTAAATTTATATTCATGTAAAAATAATGTAGATATATTAATCGTCAAGATAAAATCATTACTAATAGAAACAGAAAGTACAAAGAGACAAAAGTGTCGCGCTTAAAATAAACGCATATAAAAAAATTAGCAAAGAAATATAGTAAAAATAGATAGATAAACGGGCGAAAATACTGTCATTACATGTAAATTACATATACATACAGCATATATAAGAAATTTAGTAAATTTTATTCTGGATACATGAAAATTTAATGGAAATTGAAATTTTTCTCGATGTTTCTAATTAAAACGGGTACACGTTACCCTTGTAAAAATTGAAGGGAATTGTTTCCGAATCTTTTAAGTTGAATGGATAATCATACCCATTATAAAAAGTTGCTTCTTGTTCTTCTGGAGCATAGACTTGTTGAAGGGTAGTTGGTGGGGTTGTTTCTAATGCTATTGGAGCAGAATCTTGTTGGGGAGTCAAAAGACTCGCCGTTGTAATAATTTGTTGCGGAGTTATAGGAATCTGTTCCTGTGTCAAAAGGGGCGTCGCTGTCACATCAAGAAAATATTGAGAAGAAAAGATTGTAGATTGTGAATGATTTTGTGAAGGCGAACCAGATAATTGCGAGAGTTTTTGATTGTTCGCCATTAAATAAGTCAGTAAAAAAAGAACGTTTAATAAATTTCTTCGTAAAAATTGCAAAGAAAAAAAGATGGAGAAAGGTGTCTTTTTATACAAATGAGAATCAAATTCGCAATTTAGATTTAATATTTCATGGTTTTAAAATATAGTACAATGAAAATCACACGCGTATAATATGCAAGGTTTTATAACAGAACATGATCCTTTATTACAACATCCAAATTTATTTTTTCTTTATATATGATAGTTTACTAAATTTAAGATCGGCCGTCTAGCATTCGGTAATTTTACTATCGAATGCATGCCTATTTAATAAAATAAAAATAAAATGTATTTGTTCGCATTTACAAAAAGAACTTTTATCGGTGTCCTAATATTTGGTGAAAAACCCCCTTGAAGATAGTCGAGAGATTTCATGACATAATAGGTCATGCGATGTTTCTTGCCAATAAACCCTACAGTACGCGATGTTGCAAGGATAAAGTAATTTTTCATATTGTTGTAACATGAAATATTGTAAAAACAAGTTTCTTACCCCACAAACTTGCATGCATTCGCTTTCTCCCTTACTCATAGTCGAAATGAAATCTCATTTTCGTTTTCCATATATGGTCAAATAAAGACAAAAATCATGCCAAACATATCGAACGACAATGTTCAATAAAGTCTGAAATAGCAAAAGTATACTTGCGGATATACTTGTTCGATCCTCTAGTTTATCTGGCGTTGCCATTTAATTTTGATAATGTTATTATCCAATGTTGGATGCAGTTTGAGTTCATGTACGTATTGCACATTCCATAATAATAATAATAATAATTGTATATTTCCGATTAATATTAAGGGGCATTCCCCAAATTCATTTTTTACTACAAGCAAATATTTTGCGATATCTTCATTCTTACGGGCATCACCGTGTCATGAGATAGGCTTTTTTACTATCTAGGTATATAAATACAAAAATGTATTTTGTGCAATAATAATTTATTTGTTTTTTTTTTTTCATAAAATTTGGTATTCTCCAAGATTCTTTTTTCTCTTTCGGATCGTCAGAATGTGAACATAAATTTGTGTGCGCAAATTATTTCGGTAATAAGATCACTTTTGGAACCACTTGCCATTTATGACGGTTCAGACAGTAGCCAAACACCGTTTTGTGTAACGCTAAGAGGCGCAATTTGCTTTTTAAACTCATGCTTTTTAGTTTCGGAACTTTCAATGTCATTACTGTGCGCCACAGTTTTTTTATAAAAGTATATATCCTCCCTTAACTTTTTTATGACGCGTATAAATTCTGCTCGAGAATAGTTCTATTTTTTATAATTGTTAGATTCTGGTCAAAATATGCTGCATATTGTTGCGGAGAGATCATCAAGTCTGTCGCTCGTCGTGCCTCGGCTCGCGTAACGTCCCACGAAAGGAAAAAAAACTAAAGACTTTAACTCCTGAGGCAGTTAGGACTTAGCCGATGTAACCTTGTCCAATTGGAAACCGATATTTCGAATCCTGCATCTCGCCAATCCCCAAGTAAATCTAGTTCTAATTGCACGATGCAAGTTTCAATTGGGCCCACATGTCCAATAAATGTTCAACAAGTTTTTGGCTTTAACTTTATCTTTATTGCTTTGTTTCTAAAGTACATGTTAGTGAAACAAAAACTCAAAGCAAACGTGACATCTTGGCGCGCAAAATTGACGAATTACAGAGTATTAGTCTGCTTTACGTTACATATTATTTCTGTTTATGACCATTACGTATACAGTACTATGCATACGCGCACAATTACGCTATTGAAAATTGCAAGCCGTAATTCCAACGTTACCTCGAAAATGCAGACTCTGCATGCCGTAAGTAATATGAGAATTTCATGGCTTTGCATGACACAATTCATATTTTTTTGAGCCTTTCATAGTTTTGCACGACACAATTTATATTTTTTTGAGCCCCTGCGCTTGCTTTCATACAATATGCATATCGAAAGATGATTGCCCGGTTTTTTTACGCCTAAATCTCGTTTCGCACGCATTGTTTTCGCAATATAAAACTTAGACCTGATGCATGACGATAGTCATGCAAGAGTTATTATTACATGCATGTGATTTGATTTACAGATTTTCGCTTATGACGTTATGATGGAGTCATCTGACTCTTTCTCATTGGCCCTCCCACGAAGCTATAACGAGAATTCAAAAAAACAAAAAAGAAGAGGAATTGCTTATGTACTTGCTTGCCAACTATAGAATCTACTTGGCAACATATTGTCTAACCTTCTGAGATCAAGTAAATAAAAATTAAGTGAATGATGAAAGGAGTGCGATGTATAGAAAAACCGAATGCTTGGAAACTTGTTTGACTAGCTGAGTTCGATCAAGGATCTACTTTCCAGTGTTCAAATTTTCTGCGGGTCATCACACATGACCCCAGTTCTCCACTGTTCGATACTCTATTTTCTTTGAAATCGCCAAGTTTGATTGAAAATCAGAATAAGAGAGTAATATGGAATGAAAATTGTGAATATTTAGATTAAGCCGTAGGCAAACAAAGAAATAGGTGATGATTTAATACGTAAGAATAGTTAGGGCAGTTAGATTACTTGCAGTGTAGCACTATTCTCATTCTATTTTTTCATAATACTACTAAAGATTCTGAGCAAAAACAAGAATATTTGTCTAGTCAGGGGAAAATCAAAGTTCTATTTGACCTGTGAGAAATATATTGCAAGCAACACGATCCATCTTAATAAAAATATAACATTAAAACCACTTAACTAACCAACAAGACACTCATTATTATATAATTATTATCTATTAACTCGCTCGAATCTCTCATCTCTTTCGGTCATAATACCTGATCCTTCTACGACCACGATAGCAATGAAAAAATATTTATTATTATTTTTTAAATTGATCAACAAAAGTTAATATTTAATTTTTGCGTTATTAATATTCTAGTATTCTAGAATATATGAGCAGTGTATAAATCCTTTTATTTTTTTTATTTTTAAATAATAAAATTACTAAAGCTATTATTTTCACATGCTTTTTAAACAAGCAACTCTCAATATTACATGCTATTCTTGATATATAATCCAAGATTATTTAGGAAATGGTTCAGTTCCATCAATATATCTAAAATTTTGATTGTATAATATAGCAGTTTTATTTTCAAAATTTCAAAAAAAAAAAATCAAACTTCATAAAAAATTAAAAGAAAAAACAAAAGCATATTATATATATATATATTTTTTTTTAAAAAAATTAATAAATAATGATAAATAAAATAAAAAAACTTTTATTAATAAAAAATTGAATTATACTTTACTATTGCTTGTGGTTAAATAAACTGTCTAATTTTTACCAATGTAATAAATTATTAAAAATATTCAAAAATTTGTATTAAAATATAATTCAAATATGAACAATATATTATTATCATTTATTGTTAAATAAAAATAAAATCTTTTTAAATATTTGATTTTTTAAAAAACCTGTCTTTGAAGTAAAAAACAAATATCAAATTCAATATCCATCAAATAATATATAACCTTCTATATATGTATTTTTTGATATTAATAATTTAAAGTACTTTTTAAAAAATTCATATAATATTAATTTTAATCATATATTATCTATTAATGATATTTATTTTTTATTTATTTAATAAAAATTTAAAGTTAATTTTTAAAATAATCTGTTACTCTCAAATACTATTTTTTTAATATTATTGCTATTTAAATATCCTTAATTTTATTATTCTTTTTAATTAATTGTTATTTTTAATATGTGGCTTATATCTTGTTTATTAGATTTAATAGAATAAGTATATACAAATTTGTTTTATACAAATTTATTCTCTGTTTATCTAATTAAACTTATTAAGAAGCTAGTTCTATTGTATAGCTTATTGTCAAGTACTAATATATACTTGACTAATTTGTCAAGACTCTGTTTTTTTTTTTCAACAACTGGCGTACATCTTGTTTTATTAAGTTATCTTTGTGCAGCATGTACAAATTCGTATTTACAAATTTACCACTGCTAAATTCCCAAATAGAACCATCTAAGATTCAGATTACCCTTATCTACTGGTCAACTTATTGCTTTTTATTCTTCCTATATTCCTACACCAGAGTCCTGATCGCATAGGTAGAGTGTTAATGTATCAGGATATGCATCTTCTAGTCCCGCCCACCATCCGATGAATGGAAACTTGAAGAACCATATCCTAATACGATTAGCCGTGGACTAAGCCATATCCAATAAGAAGTTTTTGTGGCTCTAGCTTTGGTCACATGAAAACTTGGGTTGTTTCTTTTATAGTCTCATGGACTGAAGAGGTAAAAAAGTGTGCTCCATGCATGAGAAACAAGAAAAACATCAAACTTGACAATAATTATTATAACACTGCCAGATGATTATTATGCTGCTACACCTTTTCTTGGTATCACAATCCCAATGCCTGTTGAATCAACGTGTAAATTGGCTTCTTATAGGAAACAGCGCATGTTAGGTTATAGTGCCAGATATCGTATTGAGACGGTCCAATTGCCTTCACCTGGAATTGGACTTGGTATCTTGTGATGGCGATCAAAAGATGCCGATCCTTTTCTTCTGATTTGAGATTTCCACATTAGCCTTCTAGAGGATTTGAACCATTATCTTGTGATCTGACCTGCAGAGTACTAACCACTGTGCTATAGATCCACAGGTCCTGTCAAGACTCTATTTGTCTTTAAAAAATTATTTTATAAGTATATAGTATATTGTATTTCAGTTAAGCCAATATTGTATAGCATATTTGAGTAATAAGTTGATTTCTAATATATAAGTTCTAGTTTTTTTATGTGTTTTTTTGTTGGTTTTCCAGAGTTTTTTATTTTTCCCTTCAATATTATTTGCTTTTTTCTATTCAGCAAAATGGAAATATCTAATATGCTATTTGTTTTGAAGTTCATTTAGTAGTCAGTTATATGTTAATTTAATGGTTTCTTTATATAAATTAGGTTGAACATATTTTTATATTTTGTTTATTATATCATTTGTTAGTACTTCTCTTGCTATATAGTTTTTGATTTCAGGTACCTATATTTGCTACTATTTGTTGATTTTTCTTATTAACTTATAATTAATTTTTTTATATATTCTACTGCTTACTTTTTTATTAATAATTTGTAATAATTTCATAAAGAGATCTTCTTTGTATTATTTGTATGTCATGATATATATATTGGTTTTAATTTATTTACATTGAATACATTAGTTGTCAGTATATGTCTTCGTATATCTTTTGTATAGATTATCTTTAGAGAGCAATTTCAAGTTTCAAAGTTTTAGTTTAAAGGATCTGATATTGTGATCATTTTGATTATTATTTCTTGTCATAAGTTTTGATGAATATTTATTAATCAAAAATTCTTCCTATTATTAATGGAAAATTGCTTCAATAAGGCCTGACAATACAATATTCATATAATGTGTCTAATTGAAATAATGGAAATACTTTAGAAATAGAATTATGATGTAATAACAAGCTTAGATAATTTATTTTATAGTCTAATAGTTTATGAGTCATATAGTTATAATTCTATAGCCAATAGTTATAGTGATATAAATAAGGGAGGATAAGTAAGAAAAGGTAACCCAACTTAACATAACAAAAACTTTAATAAAATTTAATTAATATTCTTGTAGAAGTGCAAAATAGTCATGTAAGTGTCAATTAAAAATTATTATAAGTGGTAGTATAATAAATAGCCTAAAAGGGAAGTTACTAATTAACTCATCTTTTGAAATAATGTCATCATGAGAGGATTATTCTGGCAGTCACTAATGAGGTCTGTGACTTGAATTATCGAAGAAGAATAATAAGAGGAAGAAGAAAATAAGTGAGTAATAGTTTAAGATCAGCTAAGTCAAATTCATGCCTCAAGTATATAAAAGAAGAATAACCTACCTTAATGTTATGCAAGTTTGACCTGCCACAAGTGACAGACTTGCTGTTTTAATATCAACACTATGCAATATTGTTTTTTGTGTTTTTATTTGTTATTATCAGGTTCTGGTTAAATATTCTCCAGCTTAAGCATATTTGATTTTTATGAGATTTTTTATTATGTTTGTAATTGTGTTGTCAAGTACTTGTTCATCCTACTTTTGTAATTAAAGATTTTGTTGTTTAGTTTGAATTCAATTTTTTGGAAATAAAAAAATCTATTGTGGTTTCTTTTGTTAGATAGTATATATTGTTATTTTCTAGATTGTTGCTATATGCTTAGATTTTTATTAAAATAATATTAAGTTTTTGTTATTCTGTAATATAAATAATAATGTTAATTAAGTTGTTATTTTTGAGTATTCTGAGTACATTATAATTGTTTTGGACTTTCCTAATTGCAGCTTGGCTATTGGTACATATCATAATTTTGCTGTATGCTAAGGTAGTGAGAAAAAATATTGTAATAGCTGCAAGTTCTGTTTTGACTAATAATAGAAAGTTGTAATTCTTTTTTGGAATGTAGTGTTTAATATTTCTGGAATATCATATTCAAAGTCTATTCTGTGGTTTGTAGCTATTGATTTATTTGTATATACTGTAATTGTTTAAATGTTATTAAGTTTTTGCTTTATATTTGCTAGTTCAAGTAGAAGAAATTCTGATAAGTTTATATATTTGCCAATTATTTTTGATATAGTTTAACTTGATTGTTTTTAATTTGTAATAATAGTGAAAAGTTTGGGAATTGTAATCTGTTTGTTATTATATCATTGAGGCTTGTTGGAATAATTTTATTTTAGTGACAGAATCTATTGTTTGATATGTTTCTAGGGCTTGTTTTACTTTTATAAATAAATATATGGATGAGACTAGTTTTGTTTTTGTTAAAGATATATTTTTCTGATTTGCCTATTATATTAATTATGTATTCTTTATATTCTTGAAATGGAGAATGATTGTTATTTTGATATAGTATTGCAGCTTAACTGTATTGTTATTGCTTTTTTTCTTTCTATAATACTTTCTATGACATGTTGTGATTAGGGCTTCAAAAAGTATCAAACTGGTATCAAACTAATATTTAAATAGTACTAATCTATAGTAAATTTAGTATATGGGTTGTGACTTACTCATATGATTTTATAGTAAATTTAAATATTGAATTGGTATTGAAGTAGTATTGAAGTAGTATCATTAGAAGCCCTAGTTATGATGCTGTTTATTTAATCTCTTTGTTGAAGAATTCAATAGCAGCTTGGTGAATTAGTTTTGTATAGTTTTTCTTTTGTTATTTTTCTTGGATTGTTTTGATTATGATTTGATTATTTTGAATTTCTCAAAATCAAATAGATTTTTTGGTTTGGCACTTGTTTGATTATATGATTTCTGTTTATACTGCTATTCAGGAACTTGAGTAATTTATAATTTGATTAAGAATATAATTTGATTTTTTACAAGCTATTTTCTGTTTTTGTTATATCAAGCAAGAATTGTTAGCACTTCTAGTGTTATATCAGTTTCTTTGATTGTTGTTAATATATTTATTATGCTTGTAAACTTATATTGTTTAAAAAGAAAGATTGTGTCATATATGAAATCATGTCCTTGTGTAAGGAATATATTTTTGAGATAATCACTTATAATTGGCTTTGTTAACCATCAGTAATATTGCAGCTCTTATAGGTAAATATTTGTGATTCTATTAATTATATCTTGTTTGTTGATCTTTTTGTATCAATTGTCAGCCTGCAGTAGTATTTGTCTATTCCATGTATAGAAAAATTCATATTCAAGTAGATTGTAGAGTATTGAGTTAGATGTTATTGTTGCCATATTAAGTTTGTTTTTTTTTTTTTTACTGTTAAAGTAAGATATGTCTCATAATCTTTATTAATAAGTAATTATTATTATTACATAGTTAATTTTTAAGATATGAGATATATGGACAAAGTGAACTATATACATATTAGTCTACCACCTATTATGGTAGATATATTTCTAATAAAAAAACTTTTGAGCAGGGAAAAAGTTAAGAAAGGAACTATCTACATATAAAGACAAAGTAAATTATCTATAAAAAAATTTGAGGGCAAGATCGCCATAGTATAAGTGAAGAAATATGGAGGTATTGAAAATTGAAGGTTGATAGTTTTTGATATGAAGTTGCTATATATGTTAATTTGAAGTCAAGGTTAATCACTCCCTGAAAGTCGCATATAGTTAAGGAATTAGAAATAAAAATTGTTAAGGTAGTGATAGTGAGTATTAAGTTTTGAATGCAATTATCTTTAATGTTAACAATCCCTTCCACAGGGCACAAACCAAATGTGTCTATCTAGGTTACCGCTTCTTTTTTGATAACTAGATGCGACTTCAGTAGCAGTAGAAAAGCACTGGCTTAAGCTGTCAGATTATGGGCACAACTTCCTGATATTTCACTTTCACTCACAATGAAAGTATTTACTTTTATCCACATTGATTAGGCTTAGGCTGCCTTTTTTCTTTAACAGTATCATTGCTGCTCATGGATGCAAC